TGTTCTTTTTGCTTAGGATTGTCTTGGCTATGTGAACTCTCTTTTGGCTCCATATGAAGTTTAAGGTGGTTTTTTCCAGTTCTATGAAGAAGGTCATTGGTAGCTTTATGGGGATAGCGTTGAATCTATAAATTACTTTGGGCAGTATGGCCATTTTCACAATATTGATTCTTCCTAATCATGAGCATGGAATGTTTCTCCCTGTTTGTGTCCTCTCTTATTTCCTTGAGCAGTGGTTTGTAGTTCTCCTTGAAGAGGTCCTTTACATCCTTTGTTAATTGTATTCCTAGGTATTTTATTCTCTCTGTAGCAATTGTGAATGGGAGTTTGCTCATGACTTGGCTCTCTGTTAGTCTGTTATTTGTGTATATAAATGCTTGTGATTTCTGCACATTGATTTTGTATCCTGAGACTTTGCTGAAGTTGCTTATCAGTTTCAGGAGATTTTGGGCTGAGATGATAGTCTTCTATATATACAGTCATGTCATCTGCAAATAGAGACAATTTGACTTCCTGTTTTCCTAATCAAATCCCCTTTATTTTTTTTTCTTATGTAATTGCTCTGGCTAGAACTTCCAATACTATATTGAATAGGAGTGGTGAGAGAGGGCATCCTTGTCTAGTGCTGGATATCAAAGGGAATGCTTCCAGTTTTTGCCCATTCAGTATGATATTGGCTGTAGGTTTGTCGAAAATAGCTTTTATTGTTTTGATATATGTTCCTTCGATACCAAGTTTATGAGAGTTTTTAGTATAAAGGGCTGTTGAATTTTGTCGAAGGCCTTCTCTGCATCATTTGCGATAATCATGCGATTTTTATCTTTGGTTCTGTTTATATGGTGGATTACAGTTACAGAATTGTTTATGTTGAACCAGACTTGCATCCCTGGAATGAAGCCTACCTGATCGTGATGGATAAGCTTTTTGATGTGCTGTTGCAATCAGTTTGCCAGTATTTTATTGAAGATTTTTGCATCTATGTTCATCATGGATATTGGCCTGAAGTTTTCTTTTTTTGTTGAGTCTCTGCCAGGTTTTGGTATCAGGATGATGTTGGTCTCATAAAATGATTTAGGAAAGACTCCCTCTTTTTGTGTTGTTTGGAATAGTTTCAGAAGGAATGGTACCAGCTCACCTTTGTATGTCTGGTAGAATTCAGCTGTGAACTCGTCTGGACCTGGACTTTTTTTGGTTGGTAGTCTATTAATTGCTGCCTCAACTTCAGCCCTTGTTATTGGTCTATTCAAGGTTTCAACTTCTTCCTGGTTTAGGCTTGGGAGGGTGCAAGTGTCCAGGAATTTGTCCATTTCTTCCAGGTTTACTGACTTATGTGCATAGAGCTGTTTGTAGTAATCTCTGATGGAAATCAGTGATGATTTCCCCTTTATCGTTTTTTATCACATCTATTTGATTCTTCTCCCTTTTCTTTTTTATTAATTTGGCTAGCAGTCTGTCTATTTTGTTGATCTTTTTAAAAAACCAGCTCCTGGATTTATTGATTTTTTTGAAGGGTTTTTTGTGCCTCTATCTCCTTCAGTTCTGCTCGGATCTTAGTTATTTCTTGTCTTTTGCTAGCTTTTGAGTTTTTTTGATCTTGCTCCTCTAGCTCTTTCAATTTTGATGATAGGGTGTCAGTTTTAGATCTTTCCTTCTTAGATCTTTGCTTCTCATGTGGGCATTGATTGCTATAAATTTCCCTCTAGACACTGCTTTAAATGTGTCCCAGAGATTCTGGTACATTGTGTCTTCATTCTTGTTAGTTTCAAAGAACATTTTTATTTCTGCCTTCATTTCATTTTTTATTCAGTCAACATTCAGAAGCCAGTTGTTCATTTCCATGAAGCTGTGTGGTTCTGAGTTAGTTTCTTAATTCTGAGTTCTAATTTGATTGTGCTGTGGTCTGAGAGACTGTTTGTTATGATTTCCATTCTTTTGCGTTTGCTGAGGAGTGATTTACTTCCAATTATGTGGTCAATTTTAGAGTAGGTGTAATTTGGTGCTGAGAAGAATGTATATTCTGTGGACTTGGAGTGGAGAATCCTGTAGATGTCTATTACATTTGCTTGGTCCAGATCTGCGTCCAAGTCCTGGATATCCTTGTTACTTTTCTGTCCTGTTGATCTGTCTAATATTGACAGTGGAGTGTTAAAGTCTCCCACTATTATTGTGTGGGAGTCTAAGTCTCTTTGTACATGGTTAAGAACTTGCTTTATGTACCTGGGTGCTCCTATACTGGGTGTGTATATATTTAGGATCGTTAGCTCTTCTTGATGCATTCATCTTTTTACTATTATGCAATGCCCTTCTTTGTCTCTTTTTAACTTTGTTGGTTTAAAGTCCATTTAATCAGAGACTAGGATTGCAACTCCTGCTCTTTTTTGCTCTCCATTTGCTTGATAAATCTTCCTCCATCCTTTTATTTTTAGCCTTTGGGTGTCCTTACATGTGAGATGGATTTCCTGGGTACAGCACACTGATGAGTCTTGACTTTTTATACAATTTGCCAGTCTGTATCTTTTGATTGGGGCATTTAGTCCATTTACATTTAACGTTAATATTATTATGTGTGAATTTGATCCTGCCATTTTGATGCTCGTTGGATGTTTTGCCTGTTAGATGACGCATTTTTTTCATTGTGTCGGTAGTCTTTACCATTTGGTACATTTTTGGAGTGGCTGATACTAGTTATTCCTTTCCTCGTTTAGTGCTTCTTTCAGGGGCTCTCATAAGGCAGGCCTCGTGGTGATGATCTCTCAGCAATTGCTTGTCTATAAATGATTTTCTTTCTCCTTCACTTAGGAAACTTAGTTTGGCTGGATATGAACTTCTAGGTTGAATGTTCTTTTCTTTAAAGATGTCGAATATTGGCCCCCCACTCTCTTCTGGCTTGTAGGGTTTCTGCAGAGAGATCTGCTGGGAGTCTGATGGGCTTCCCTTTGTGGGTAACCCGACCTTTCTCTCTGGCTGCTCTTAGCATTTTTTCCTTCATTTCAACTCTGGTGTGTTTGAAGATTATGTGCCTTGGGGTTGCTTTTCTTGAGGAATATCTTTGTGGTGTTCTCTGTATTTCCTGGAATTGAATGGTGGCCTGTCTTGCTAGGTTGGGGAAGTTCTCCTGGATAATATCCTGAAGAGTGTTTTCCAGCTTGGATTCATTCTCTCTGTCACACTCAGGTACACCTATCAAACATAGATTAGGTCTTTTCACACAATCCCATATTTATTGGAGGCTTTGTTCATTTCTTTTCACTTTTTTTTTTCTCTAATCTTGCCTTCTCGTTTTATTTCATTGAGTTGATCTTCAATCTCTGATATCCTTTCTTCTGCTTGGTCAGTTTGGCTATTCAAACTTGTGTATGCTTCACAAAGTTCTCCTGCCGTGTTTTTCAGCTCCACCAAGTTGTTCATATTCTTCTCTAAGCTGTTTATTCTAGTTAGCATCTCATCTAGCCTTTTTTCTAGGTTCTTAGTTTCTTTGTATTGGGTTAGCACATGTTCTGAAGAGTTTGTTATTACCCACCTTCTGATGCCTGTTTCTATCAATTCATCAGATTCATGCTCCATCCATCTTTGATTCCTAGCTGATGAGGAGTTGTGATCCTTTGGAGGAAGAGAGGCATTCTGGGCTTTGATGTTTTCATCATTTTTGTGCTGGTTTCTTCCCATCTTAGTGACTTTATCTACCTGTGGTCTTTGTAGTTGGTGACTTTCAGATGGTATGTCTGAGTGGACATCCTTTTTGTTGATGATGAAGTTATTTCTTTCTGTTTCTTAGTTTTCCTTCTAACAGTCAGGCCCCTCTGCTGCAGGACTGCTAGAGGTCCACTCCAGACCCTGCTTGCCTGGGGATCACCCGCAGAGGCTGCAGAACAGTAAGGGTTGCTGCCATTTTCTTCTTCTGTTATGTTCATCCCAAAAGGGTACCTGCCAGATATCGGCCTGAGCTTTCCTTTATGAGGTATATGGGGTTCAGGGAGCTGCTTGAGGAGACAGTGTGTCCCTTATAGGAGCTCGTGTGTTGTGCAGAAATGCACCCTTATAGGAGCTCTGTTGTTCTGTGCAGAAATGCTGGGCGGATACTTTTAAGTCTGCTGAAGCGGAACTCATAACCGCCTCTTTTCCCAGGTGTTCTGACCTAGGAAGGTTGGCTTTATTTATAAGTTTCTGTCATTCTGCTGCCTTTTTTCATAGATGCCCTGCCTGGCACGGAGTAGTCTAGTCACAGTCTGCCAGCAGAGGTGTTGCTGAGCTGCTGCAGGCTCTGCCCAGCTGCTGTGTGAACTGCCTCGGTAGTGGTGGTCGCCCTTCCCCCCACTGAATTGGACCATCCTGGGTCCAGCTGCACTTGCTGCGAATCCAGAGTGTTTCAGACTGCTTGTTTTGTGGGGGTGGTACCCACTGAGCCAGATTGCCTGGCTTCCTGTCTCTGCCCCTTCTCTTTCAGTTGAATGGTCGGCTCTGTCTCCCAGGTGTTCCAGGCACCAATTGAAACAGCCGCCCAGATTTGTGTGAGTTTCTGTGTGCCAACCTGGCACCAGCTGAAACCGCCATGCTGAAAACTCATGGCACTTTTCGGCCTGGGAATCTCCTGGTCTGTGGGCAGTGAAAATTTGTTTGGAAATGCAGCGGTCACTCACCCTCTGCATTTTTCTTGCTGGGAACTGCACTCCAGAGCTGTTCCTATTCGGCCATCTTGGATCCTCCCCTCTGTTCCATTATTTTTATAATCAGTCCTGCACCAGGGGCTGATTATGTACATGATCTTAGGAGACCTCCACCACATGTTTTTACAACTGTTATTCTTTTCATGGTTAAATGACTTAGAAGTGGTTCTCTAAAAAGAAATTCAGACACTTCTGTACATTTGAATTTAGAATTACTACTGTCACCAAGATTGATCAAAGAGATGTTAACATAAAGGTAGGTACTACATTTGATTTTGGATGTGTTAAATTGGCTTTTTATAAAAGTATTCGTAAAAATCTTTTTTTTGCCCCTAGGAATAATTCGGGTTTCACACCAGCAGACACAGTTGCTATCATTTTCTGTTCTACACACAAATCCCTCACATTGGGTAAGTGACTCACAGAGTTAAAAATCATATATTACCCTCATATAGTTATATCTTATGATTTTGAAATTCAAAGAACTCTTCAAATTAAATGGAATAGGGTATTGTCCATGCTATTAGATAAGGAATAGTAGCAAAGTGAGGGTGGGTCATTGCTTTGAAATTCTGTTATTTGATTGAACAAATCTCTATGGGAAAAAATCTAATACTGTAAAATTTAACTTATAATCATGTTTTCAATTCTCATGAAAGATTATCAATGTAGAATGTTAACATTAGAGCAGACATGGAGATGCTGTGAAAACTACTTCTAAAAAAAGAAATTGACAAAATTTTGCTTTGGAAGGCCCTAGAGTTGTCCCTGGAAAAGATTAACTTATTTTCTGGCAGCTTAGAGCAGGGTGGGAGTAAGGTTATTACTGTAATTTGATATTGACATTAGTTTGATGCTCATTTCTGAATGTTATTTCTATAAAGAAATAATATAGTTATCATTAACTCAATCAGATTAGCACTAAAAGTGAAATAAGTATTTATTTAATGGACAAAAATTGATTAAGAAGAAAACTGCTGTTTTCTACTTAGCTTTATCCAATTAGTGCCATTATCCCAATAACCTGTTAGACATCCAGAATCTATGTTTTTAGTCATTAAAAGTCATTAAGTAATCAGAAGCTTTATTGAAATATACATCAGTCACAAACTCCTTGGGGTGGTGGGCATGTTATGGCAAAAACTCATACTAAAAATTTCTCTACATTTTGGCACGTGAGTCACTTAAGAGAATGAAGAATCATTACATTGTTCTTAGTCTGCTTATGTTAAGGAAATTCAGTCTGTGAACTAGAAAATGAAGACATTTCATAATGTTTTTATTAATCCCAAACGTATTTGTCTGATAGTCTACTGTCAGTCTTACCCAGTTTGGAAAATGATTTAGAAATTGGACAAACCCTTAAGGAGCAGTCGTTACTGAGAGCTTCAGCTTATTTGAATAAATTATATGTATACTGTCTATGCACCGCTGTATTTTTGTATTTGTGTAGCTATAATCATCACTAAATTGAAGTTGAAACAGTCTTAGAAGCCATATTCCAATCCTAATTTTGTGACCCTGAACAAATCAGTTAACCTCCCTGAACCTTAGCCTCTTCATCTGTAGAAGGGGCAGAATAATACTTATTTTGTAAGGCTGTCATAAAGATTAAAGTTAAAATTTGCTAAGTACCTAGTATAGCACTTGGTAGATAATAGGTAGTCAATAAATGACAAGATGTGTACAATAATCATACTGTAAATAGATTCCTGTGGACTACACAAGATAGCCCATCCAAGAGTTTGCTGTGCTGCGTGGCACTTGGTGAGTACTCTATAAGGTGTAGCTATTCTTATCAATTACTAATAACTCTGTTAGTTATAACTATGTTACCACTTCCAAGGTTGTAGTCTCCTGACCCCTGGTCATAGAGATTTTCATGTAACCAGTATGTTTTAGTTGTTGACCTCAAGGAAATCATCTTCCACTTCTTTCCCACATATGTTATTGTCATGTACTGTCTGGTGTCTCAGGTCTTCTAAAACCTTAGGGACTTTTATAAAAGTTAGTGAGTCTAGATGTACAGAGTGCAGGGACTGAATGAGCCTGTATCCTTAGAGCACAGGCTGAACCGTGGCTGCACCAAATACATTCCCACATTTCTGCAATGGGCTTGCAAACCTGACCCACTTTTCTTTTCTTTTTTTTTTTTTTTAAATTTTACTCTAAGTTCTGGGATACAAAGGGACTTGCTTTTGTCAGGAAAACCAAAAAGGGTTTTCTCTGTTTCTCTATGATGTTCTTCTGTGCTAGAGCTGTTTGTACCGAACAAAGAACGAGATGCATACCTAAGAAGCACACAGCAGTGTGATCACTGTGCTTTTCTCTTAAGCAGAATATCCACCCATTCAGGGTTTTTTTGTCTTTTTTATTTTTCTTAATCCCAAAGTCATACTTTTCTGTCCTTTATACTTTCCAAAAGCTGATTTTCAGGCAAACAGATGCTATGAAATAGTTGTTTTGCTGGAAAGGGTTGGGTTAAATTGGATTTCTGTTTGCTTTTGCCGTGTTCTACCATGAAATAGATCCTCCGATAAGATGCTGTACTAGTGTGGCATCTATATAATCATGTATATAAATCCTTAGCTACTTTTAGAACACGATAGACATAGGCTCTCTTGGAATTATAAGACCTAAATACTCAGCCTCACTCTTCCATTGATATTTTCCTGGGCCTCAGTTTCCTTGGTTCTAAGATTAGATAATTTTACTTCCAGCTCCAATATTCTGTCATCCCTTGATCATATTTGGCTTCTGTCTTGTAGTCTCTTAAGTAGTATTTATAAACATGTCCTCTTTGCTGCTCCCTTATCTCAGACAGATCACCCCTATTTCCACATACAGCAAGGGATGTTTAGACGCTAATGCTAGAATGGCCTTGTTAGGCACTATAAGTTTACTGTATCCATTTTCACAAGATCCAATACATGTTACCCTCTACTGGTGACCTCACATCTCTGGTACAGAGGATAGGCCATGACAGTGACCTGAGATACAGGCTAATAATATTCCTAATGGAAATTCTTTTTCATTTGTTTTTATTTTTAAATAAGCTTTATTTTTTTAAAAGCAGTTTATGGTTCACAGCAAAATGGAGTGGAACATACATATGGAGATTTCCCATATACTGCTTGACCCCAAACATGCACAGCCTCCACATTATCAACATCCCTGCATGGAAATGCAAGTACATCACAAGGAGTATGAAGAATTCATGGTCCAGAAAGCAAGGGGAAATTTTAGGTAATATCATTTACAGTTATATATTCTCTCACCACTTACATGAAGATGAAATATAACAGATTGTGATATACCTACTTGGTATATTTTAAAAATTCATCTTTCCCTTTGTAGTCACTGTCATATTTCTTCTGTTTATATATGTGTGTGTATATATATGTATATACACATCTTTAACATCTCACATAGAATACATTTAAGTGAAACAAAATACCATTCATTATTACATCTAGTATTTGTATTTAAGAATAAATCATTGCAGGCCAAGAGGTAACCATGTAACTAATGAACCAAAGATGAAAACTCTTGCTTGAGAAGCTTTCTGAATATCCCTTGTATACACCTTCGATTTGTTTTATTGTTCTTGCTTTTGCCCTGTCTCCGTCTCTTTCATGTACTTGCATCTACACACATGCTGAATTTGATTCATTGCTTTTATTAGTGCCTTTGCCATTGATAGATTAGTTCTTCGTATTAGTACTTTTTCTATTGATTGATTGCAGATGAAGTGACTATTTGACCTTTAATTATGAGGCTTCCTATTGAAAATGACATTGAGCTATGGCTTCACATAATCCATCTGGAAAGCCTGACATGATGCCATTCCCTGGAGTTCGTTCAGGAAGAAAGAGGAGGCCTGAAGGAAGTGCAGAGCTATCACTGTGCCTCATCTAAAACAATACTACAGGGCTTGTTTGCTGCTCTCCTATAGTTTCAGCTCAGGGTTGGAGGTAATTTTATATTTTGTCAAGACAGCATCACTTGCTGTGTGTTGCCGTAAAAGCCATGATCTCTCCCAAATTATTCTCTAGTTTGATGGCAATTTTTGTGTAATAATGAAAAGATATTTTACACAGCCGAGATTGAAGAACAGCTTGTATCCTAGTTAATAATGGCTCAGTGCACAGTCAGTCAATAGATCTCATCAAGAAAGCGATTAAATCCAAGATATCCTGTGGAATTGGTATTTTACTTTTATCTTATTTATCTTTTCCTTTTGAGTATTCAAATCACTTTGCTTAACTAGATTTCCAATATATGCAGAAAACTTTCTCCCTACACTTAACGAGCAAATGTTTCAGGGCATTTGAGGTCCTTAAGCATGTTTGTATTAGTTTTTAATGTTTTTAAATAGCAAACTGAAAGCACATAACCTCAGAGTATGTCAGCTGACTATCGGCAGTCAATGGTGAGACTTCAATTTTTTTCTTATTTCCAAAAGCACTTCTGAATTGAATGAATGCCACTTAAATATTTAGTAGACTGTCATCAATGCTTATTAAAAGTTCACTGTGTATCTTGTTGTTTACAGACACTTGTGTACAGAGGCAAATCAAGGCAACTATTCCTTACATTGTTTATATGTACTTAAGTATGGATCTAGTTGCAGTTACACAGCTTAACTATGACAAGAAACTCTGCATTAAGCTAAAAGAATATAGCTTTCCGGTAGACAGAGGATTCTAGAAAGAGTAGAAAGAGCACATTCTGAATCTAGTCTGGATTCGTGTTCCAATTATCTCCCCAAAATCTGGAACAAATCACTTAGCTGCCATGAGCCTCATTTCCTCATCCACGCAATGAAAAGATGGGCAAAATGATACTTGAGATTCCTTCCAGTATTAAGTTTCTGTGAGTCTGTGACTGATATTTCTGCTCTATGAAATAACAAGTCTACCTATTATATGTGCAAAAGAAATGAGTTATTGAAAGGAATAGTTATGTAAATAATGTTAGAATATTACAGGAAAGGAAATATCAGTAGCTTCTTCTTACAGAGGTTAAAAAATAATCTTCAGAGCCTCCAAAGTCTCTTAGAAGAAACACAATCTTAAAAGGCCGTTGTTTTCCATTTGATTGGAAGTTTTTTAGGAATGTTAAAGAATTACCTACAACTTGGGCTCAAAGTCTCATTTAATAACATTTGAGTCATTTTATCAAGAGGAAATTGAATTGAAACGCAAAAGTTGGCATTTCTGGTGCTATTTTCATACAAAGCCTATTCTACTTGGCACATAAAGAATTCTTAATAAAACTACTCTACAATTGCACAACAATTACTTAAAGCATTTAACCCTGTAAATAATGTTACCTAAACAATCTTGAATATTAGCAAGTCAGTAATTGTTGCCTTCTTGTGCGTACAAATAAATGAAAGCATAGGAAA